ATTGGGATTTGAGACAAAATTTTAAATATATCCAATATGGACCAATAATTATAACTATTTGGATGGCAACTATAGAAGCCAGTAGCACCCTTACTTACACTTGCTTCTGTTTTTTTATCAGTTTCTTTACCTTTCATCAGTTTCATCACCTTTCACCAGTTTTGTTACCTTTCATCATTTCGTCATTTGAGATTTTAGTTGACAAAAGACGAAACTAGGTTTTGCATTTTGTCAGTGCAAAATCTCACAGTTTCATCTAACAACTATAGTCATATATTTATAATTTTTCATACCTATACTGTATTACATAGAAATATATTATTACGAATAGATGCTTGTGTCAACTCTAACTGCCATATTAATTTGTCATGGCAAATTCCCAGTTGAAAGCGACAATCAAAATTTAGGCCAGGAATTACCTAAAACTTTTTACTAATAAAATTACAGCTGTCTATTTAAGTAAAAAATAGTTGCTAGGCCAATTTTACTATAGTTTGGGCCTATTTTCTCAAAAAGGTTCAGTAAACAAAGTTACAGAACAAAATTTATATCTTGATTAAAAAATTTTACAATTGATTTAAATTTTTTCAAGCAATATGAGCAGCATGTACAAGTTAAATAGATTAGAAAAAAATGTTATTTTCCATAAATATTGTAAAAATCAAATCTGTAACTTTAAAACTTCAGATAAAAAAAAAAGATGCAACCTGTGTATCTAAAATATTAATATATATATAAATGTACTTATACATAATTTTATTAATTAAAAATCAATTATTAGAAAATAAATATAACTATGGATAATTTTGATTTACTTAGAATATCAAACACCCAATATTATGTGCATGCAATTCTTTTTGAATAAATATCAATACTTAATTTATTCATATATGTATAGTCGGTAAGTACAGTATAATGATAATTTAACAATCAGTATCAACTTACTTATGATTATATTTATTTCTCATTAAATTTTTTTTAGAGATGTTAGTGTACCACTCAAAATGGATAGGTAACCCAGGGTCAATTATAATCATCAGGCAATTAGCCCATAGGTCAATCCACAAGTTACCTGCTGGCAGAATTGCCATTTTTGACCCAATTTTAACCCAAATAATAGATATTTATTGGCCTATTTTCTCAAGTTACGGGAATTTAATACAAGAATAGATAAGTAGAATTCATACCTATATTCGAATCTTTCGGGTTAGATATCTCAACTGGGTCATAACCATTTCTATTCGCGTAACCCGAATTTTAACTATTGTTTGCAAGTATAAATATAATATTGCACATTAGGCTTTGGCTTACTTTAAGTTGTATAATAGAACAGAGCCAATAAAGCCATAGTTTAAAATTAAGCAATGGAGATTAACTGACTCAAATTAATAATATGTATCATTTTTTTAACTATATAACTTTAAAACCACATCACAATACTGTGCCCAATAGCACAGCTCAAGCCCAAAGCCATGGTTTAAGGGCTGAGCCAGGATATCAGAGCAGATATCTATTTACTGCATATTTATATTTTGTGAGTATAAAATATTAGAAAACTTCTTATTATAACTCTAAGTCTTCAAAATAAGCTATTCAAGTCAGTGATTAGTTCATTTTATTCTCAATAATTTAGTATAAATATATACAACTTAAATAGATTTTATTCACATTAATTTAGTGTTAATCTAAGTATTTAAGTATATAAATATTACTATAGCAGTAACAACATGGCTACACAATAATGCATATTATGCAAAAACTCAACTTCTTATCAAAGTCCTATTTAATAGTCTGGACTAAAAAAGATTTGACTTTTTAATAGCCCTTACCCATGCTAAATGACACAGGTTCTTACTAGTACTATTGAGTACTATATATTGATATAAATACCAAAAAACAGGTTACATACATATATATGTATGTATATAAATAAAATTTTATCTCAGCATTATCAGCTTATCACTTTGGATAGTATATCACCCCAAATTGAGTGAGTGTATTGCATAGGATCTGCAGATAAGCTCTACTTTTTTGTATCAATGTGATTAAATTTATCCAACAATTAGGCTAATCACCCGACATCGGGTGATTAGCAAATTATAAAAAAATGCAAAAAAATGCACTGTTCCAGGAATAAAATATGTTGCAGTAAAGAAGTTTTATATATATGTAGAATGTTTTTTAAAGATATCTCAAGAACCATTAGGCCGATTTTACCGTTCTTACTGTGCCTTGATGAGCTTTACAACTTTTAATTAATTGACAAGATTGATTGTCTTATAAAAACATTTTAGATGTAGGCTCGCCATATTTCTGTCAATAGCAAATTTTTAATTATAAAATTTTGCAAATTCTCTCCAGGTAACAAATGGTTTATCAATTAATAAAAAAATTGCGATTTATAATAAACATTAAAATTTTCGAATTTCTTTGTGATAAATATAATTTATTAACAATATTTTATAACATTATTACAACTAAATTACTGGACACTAGACATACAATGGACATACACTAGACAATTCGGAAATGTCCAGTGTCCATTAAAAAAGCACTGGATATATAGATTGCCCAACCCAGACCAATAGTACTTATATTATACTAGTTAAAAAATTATATTTTAACTAAATAATAACTAAATAATCAGGGTCTAAAAATGGCTTGCACAAGATGCACATGTGCAAGTATATATTTTTTTTGTACAAAAGAAGTTCTAAATGTATATGCACTAGTGTGCAATTAAATTTGAATAAGAAGCTTGTGCAAAAAATGATATGCAAGAGAAATTATAAAATTTTATTGTACTAAAATTTAGTTTAAATATAAAATATGGATAGGCTAAAGCTATTCTGAAAAGGTTCAAAAGAAAAATGAATGAACATAAAATATGAGCAAGGTTTAGCTTTAATTTTGGGAAAATATCCAAAATATTCCAAAAAAATCAACCAAAAATATAAAATATATCTGGTACAGTAATTTTTAAATTTTTATACCATTGAATTACTTAGAAACAATAAATAAGTACATATAAAAATAAAATTTATATGCACATGTGTGCAACTAGCAGTTGGTTGTGCAATTAAAACCTATAATACAACTGCATTTGTGCATGTAAGTTTCGATCTGAATTTTAAACCCTGTTTGGAGGTAATAAATATGTGCATATAAAAAAAAATTTATATGCACACGTGCAACTAGTAGTTGGTTCGTGCAATTGTGCAAGAAGATTTCGAGCTGAATTTTAAACACTGTAAATAATAACCAGTAATATATAGTGCAAATTACAACTCATTTAATATATATTTAATAGGCAATATATGTAATTTGTTTAAATAGATATTTACCTAATGATTATATAGTAAATAAATTATAATTCGTACTATATATTACTGGTTATTATTTAGTTAAAATATGATTTTTTAACCAGTGTAATATACATATTAGTGATGTTATATCGGCAGGAAAAAAAAAATTATTTATGAAATTTTAATATATAGTACAAACTCTAACTTTAAAGAGCTGCTATAATGATTCCATTATATGAAATTTATCATCCCGACACTAACCATAAAGAGCTGTGAGAATGATTTTATAATATGAACTTTCTATTCCAATACCATAAACATTACTTAGATTTACATGGGACATTAGACACCCCCATTAATTCATGGGGATTGTTCGGTTTAGCATTGTGCAATGCGCATATCATTCGCATAATCATACGCATGATTTTTAGTGCTACAATGCGAGCCTAAATTTTAAGGGATAAGTGTGGTGCAGACAAAGTTCTTAAAATTCGTTAAGATTAGGGTTAGGGTCAGGGTTAAGAATTAGAAAGGGTATATATATAGTAAAATTACCCAACGAAAACTTTGCTAGAACACCAAAGGTGGTTTCTTATACTGATTTTTGAGCTATGAGCGAACGAACGATTGTTTTGAATCTTCTTCCTGATCGTGTAACGTTACACTTAATTTTAAATCCGAATGCATAATGGAGCTACTCGGATAAAATTTCTTACAGGGCATAACACTAACCGTAAAGAGCGTAGTCGATTTATGTTAGATCATATTAAAGTAACCAATGTGCTAAGAGTAGGTGCCGAAAAATTCCGAAAAGAAAATCAACGAACATAACATTATGAACAAGATCGCTGATGAAATTTCCGATAAGTTCCGAAGATAAAAGATACTACGGCTGTTTTCATTAGACATTTCAATGTTGTTGATTAAGTTTTTGATGTCGGTCGATTCGGCTGTCAAAAATTTTTCAGATGTCCAAAAAATAATGAAAGCATCTGTAATCGACTTCGATTTAGCCGGCTAAGCCGAATTTTAAATATCAACCTAGTCAAGTCGATAAATAAGGATCGACTACAAGCACTAACTGTAATTATTGTTCTTATGCTATACTGATGATTAGCTAAACTCACATGAATGCTGTCTTCTTTTTACATGTCGTGTATTATGTAAGGAAGTTTTGGAAACGATAATTATTCATCTTCATCCTGCAGGGGGAAGATTGTAGATCAAGGAACCCAGTGATATCTTCATAATAATCACGTCACATGATTAAGTGTTTGGCCTACGTTAGGGTTAGTGTTAAGGTTAGTGTTAGGGTTAGGTGATAAGTTATTTTAGGCTAATTTGTTTAGTGCTAGTAAACAAATGACGTACTGCATGATTTCACGTGATGTGATAATCACTGGGTTCCTTGTTCTACAAGTGTCCCATGTAACTCTTTTAGGGTATACCGATACAATAGAATTCGCGGAGATGACTACTAATAATGTCTAGGAAGAAACAATGAAAAATTGTTGGAAAAATGAAAATGAATGCATTTTCATTAATTCAAAACACGTATATAAGTAGTTGAGTCGAAAGGAAATACTGATTAAACAAGTTCAAATCAAATCCCTAAATAATAATTTCTATAATAATTTCTTAATAATATCTACGATACAGTATAATCTTTAAATAATAAATTCACAATATTTTACAATGAAATACATTTCTTGGTTAATCATTCTTATTTGTATCGTCTATGGTCTGTCAGTTCAGGCATCACCTCTTCCTGAAGGTAATATATATATATATGTATCTACTAGTTACCCGGGATCCCTAATTTCTCCCCCAGTTCTGATTAGATATTTGCAAATGCTATCTCTGATTGGACAAAATGGACTACGCCACACTTCGTCTACTAATCAAATTTAAGATCAGGTGTAACATAAAATTTCAAAAAAAAGTCGACAGTAACTTAAAATTTTGATTACAAAACCGCCTTTCGTGTTCTAATAAAAAAAATTCCTTGCAAAATTTTTTCTATTATTTGATCGAAAGGGAGGATTTTTCTTCGTCCAATAGGAAGTGGGGGGATAAATTAGTAAACCCCCAGTTACCCACCCTCACAAATTGGAATAACCAAATAATTAAACCTATTTTCTCAAATACTCATAATATTTTCATTTTTTAGTTAACCACGCGAAGCGATGTGATCCAGGTGATGGCCCTGGTTGTGGATCTGGTGACTGCTGTGACTGTCCAGAATGTTAAGTTTATATAAATTAACAAGATACTTTTTAAGTGTGTGCTTGGTGGTCTTTAGTGTTTAGTAAGCGATAATATTCAGGGTGTTTCCAAGTGTCTTGATAGATTAAAATGTACCGAAAAAATAAGTTTTCAGATTAATATTCTTTATTATTTTTTGTACTGAATTTGCAGAAATTAAATAAATTTTATAGAGTAATAGATGATAATACTCAAAATTGATTGTAATTTATTCGATCTAAATATTATCACCAGTGTTGGGAAGCTTACGTTCTCATGAATATATATCCATAGATTTGAGAACATTTGAAATTCAATAAATGATATCTATGAAAAGAATTCGAGAACATAATACTCGAAAATATGTTCACCATATTAGTATAATAGCATAATGTAAGATGGGAAATTGAGCAAAGTTTCGAAATTATTCGAAAAGAAAATAAAAGACGAAAATGGTTGGGATAAAAATTTGCATAAAAGTTCGATATTTTCCGAAATAAGGGATTTAAAAAAGCTGAAATATATTGTAAATAAATTTTACGGTTGAGGACATAAATAAATTTCTGAGAAAATTAATTTGTTCTCATGAGAACATAAATCTTAACCTGATTTCAAATACCGAATGAAATGTGTGCAACGAAGAGTATGGTTTATTGGTAAGTTAAGTCGCTGTATCTGATTGGGTAACCTATTCTTGTGACTTCGGTTTAGGATTTCTATATTTATACACTGCATATTGACATATGCATTAACTTTAATAATACAACTAGGCGCTTGAATTGCTTAAAGGGAGTTAGAATTAATGATGCCTGACGAGTGACGAATGACGGAACTATAACAAATGTAAGAAAAACCAAAGAAAGTAATTTATCCTTAGGAGTCATTGAAAACTAATAACGTAGTCTATGTGAACTTAATTTTTTGTTTATTATCATGTCTATCCAGTTTCTATTTTTTTTTTTTTTTGATGCCTTTATCCAATATTCACCGATGATTTGCATCATCTTCCCGAATGTATCCGATAGATCTGACGAAGAGATCGACGAAACTTTATGAAGAATAATGGTAATTTTGAAAAATCTAAGATTTAAAATATTCAGAGGTCGTTATAGATGAACATTGTTGAAAGCTGGACAACTGTGTTTTTATATTTTATCAGTCAAATTAATTTCGTCAAGAGTTTCGTCAATCGTTGTCAGACCCGAAATCGGCGGGTCTGTGTGTAACCAAGGGTTTAGCTTACGTTGGGTTGAAAAAGGCGTGTTGTATTTGGACGAGTGGTTAATAAAAGAATGTATGTAGTTTGTAGGACATGTTTACATGACTTAGGTATTTTATTATTATGTGAAGCAGGAACAGTCGTTCCTTTATTTATAATTGTTAATTCATCTATTTACATTCGCTGGATCATATAGATCTTTAAAATCACCAATAAACCCTAATTGGCCTTATAGCCAGTATTATTAATATCCACCATATCGCTGAAATCATTGCAATATCCTTGATCTGGATTATCGGGGGAATTGAACCGATCGGAAATTTCGGTGAATCGGACAGGAAACCCAAATTTGGAAATACCCGAAATCACGAGGGCACGTGCCTCACATTTCCGGTTTCAAAGGGTCCTCACATAAATGGCACGTCGTCGTGTAGTTACTATTAAATCAAATCGTCAAGTTTCGTCAGACGAAACCTTAACGAAACCCTTTCGTCAACGCAAAATAGTTTTGTCAGGCATCATTAGTCAGAATAGAGTATGCTATATCTTATTACCATAAGCTGCTGACCTATGATTTGCGCCCGGTGAGATTTGGTGCTTAATCTCGGGTACTATACATTGTATACTTCAAAGAGAAGTATCCGGGATATATCTATATACGCACGTATATATTTATATAGCAGTTCAGGCAATGACCCCCCTGCTTCGTACCCGGGTGCAGTTAACAATTTATATAAAAAAATCCTTAACGTTAATTATTTTCTGATTTTAAATTCTATTGTAAACCACATCTTTAGCCAATCCAAAATTAGACTTTGAAATGTATTAGATTAATTCATTTGTTATATATTAAATTTGTTAACTACGAAAATTTACTAACATACTGTATAAAACGTAAAGTTTTTGCTTAGCAAAATAGTTTTGTGGTAAAACCACGGGTGAATAAATTAATTTAGATTATATTTATTAAGTAATTCGATTTACAGTCAACTCTCTCTAAGTGCAAGTCAATGGGCCAACAAAATATCTTGCATTTAGAGAGAACTTGCACTTAAAGAAAATATAATTAATTCTCTCTAAATGCAAGTTTATAAGTTAAAAAAAATATCTTGCACTTAGAAAAAAAACTTTAGTTAAAATAAGTCAATTTAATTGGTTAATAATATATCTTGCAATTAGAGAAAATAATTTTATATATGCTGGCTAAAAAAAATCTTGCACTTAGAGAATAAAGAACTTGCATTTATGTTATAAGTCCCAACACGGGACCAGACTATTTAATTGCATTTAGAGAGAAGTTGCACTTAGAGGGGTTGCACTTAGAGAGAGATGACTGTATATAAATTTGTACCTCAAACAAAGATTAATAAAACTTTTTTTATATATAAACTTTACTAGCACTTACACTCTTATTAATTTTCATTTTATTTGCAGTAAAGTACAAAGGTATTTTATTAATTAATTTATTCAAATAAGCTATTCAATTGATGACATTTAATATACTATTGCACTCTAAAATTTCTATTTAATTCGCATAATTTAATCAATAACTATAAAAATATTTGATAGTCAATGTACTCAATTAGCTGTTGTGCAACTACATGTTCGTTATTATTTTACATGGATGATATCTGTAGACACATTAATTATTAATCTCATATGCAATTGTATATTACTAGTATTTATGAGTGCCGACAAATGAAGCGTACGAATTTAAATTTATATTATGACAGCCTAAGCCTTTAAAGAATATAGTATTTATTCATAAATTAATTATTGTATGATCGGTGTTTGATAAAAAACTGCAAAGGTAATAAATACTATTTAAATTTAGAAGAAAAAAGTAACATGTAATTTATGATTCAATAAATAATTTTCCTTTGTATAAAATAATATTCCTTAATAACTACTAAAAAAGAATTCTGAAAATTAATTCATTTTTTCATTCTTTAATTTTTCTCTCAATAACCTTCTTAGAATTTTACCAGAATCACTTTTCGGAATTTTATTAATAAATAATATACCACCTCTTAATTTTTTATGTGGCGCAACTTTTCCACCTACAAAAGATTGAATTTCCTTCGCTAAAGCTTGAGATTGCTCATATCCATGTTTAACTGTGACATATGCTATAGGTAATTCGGTTGCTTCTTCTTCAGAATAATATCCTATTACAGCAGTATCTGATACTGCATCATGTGTAAGCAGAACTGCTTCTAATTCAGCAGGTGCCACTTGAAAACCCTAGAAATATTTATTTTAGTTGTCAATTAAACCCAATAAAATAATAATGTGAAAATTGCTAATTTTCAATAATTATTTATAATCGCATCTACTGTACTTTGTATTTGATTAACTCTTTTTTTCGATCAACAATAAAAAAGTTCCCTTTATGAAAAATAAAAATTATAATTAATATACACATACAACAAAATTTTTTATTTAGTAATAAAGTATACCTTGTTCGTCAACACATGCAATATCTCCCGTATTAAAAAATCCATCTTTGTCAAAGACGGCATTTGTAGCTTCTTTATTATTAAGATAACCCTATTTAAAAAGTATAAATTTTTTTAGTCAAATATCATAATTAAATAATTGAATAATTACATAATAAAATAGTTATGCTACTATTTACTTTCATAACATTTGGGCCATGAACCCACATTTCTCCAGGTTCATTATATCCCAATTCTAAAATATAAAATTATAAATTCATTTGAATTTAGAGTTATTTATTTAAATTAGGAATATATTATATATGTATTATATATGTATTAAATAGTTACCATCACCACTTTCTGACAATATTTTAGCTTTCACATTCGGAAGAAGATATCCAATAGAACCTATTAAAAATAAGGTACTTTAGAAACCATGAAATATTATTAGTTGTACAATAATCACACCAAATAATGACATAATACCTGGAACTGAATTATTTATGTTCTTTGTATCAGGATAATGCAATATCGGAGACGTTTCAGTAAGACCTTTATTATGTCATGCAATTGATAGAAAGTAATTCAGCATAATGAAAGGAAAAAAAAATATTAATATTTATATGTAGTAAGACCGTTTAGAATGAGTATCAAGAAAGGAGTTTCGTTATTTCAGACAACCTGAAAAAAAAAAAAATCTTACCATAAGCTTGCAAAATCGGCACTTTATACATCTCATTAAACTTTTTTTCTAATTCATCACTTAACGGTGCTGCCGCACTTAAGATCAAATTCACACTTGATATATCAAAATTTTGAACTACAGGGTCATTGACAAGTTTAAGGATAATTGGCGGAACAGCATGAATTTGATTGATCCTATATTTTTGAATCGCTTCACAAAATGTTTCCACATTGAAGCATGGAAGAATGATAGTTGTAGCACCCTAGAATATTAACATGCAATTAACATAATTTATAGATTAAATTGATATCATGGTGATGAAGAAGTATTAAAATTTGAAAAACTTACATGAATTAAGGTCCCATGAAGGATGCAAGTTAATGCATAAATGTGGAAAAATGGCTAAATTTAAAGCAATAATAGCAATAATGAAGAATTACTCTAAATAAACGATCTAAAATACTTTAAAAGGAACTCATTTATATAACTTACTAACAGTCCCATAAATATACTGTGTGGACCAAGGCCACAATTACTACCGATTAATTGAGCTAAATTAACATTTATGTTTGTGTGAGTAAGTTCGACACCTTTTTGCTTTCCGGTTGTACCAGAACTATAAGGTAAATAAGCAGTCGTTGTTCTTGCTTCTTCGGGAGTGTAAGAAACCGGCTCAATTTCACGATCACCGATTAAAACAGAGCGATAAGGCTTGTACCCTTTTATTTCTTCATCACCAAACAATAATACTCTGGATGAGGGAATTTTTGCCTCAATTGAAGCTTCAATAGCGGTTTCAAGAAATTCTGGATGCACGATCAGAACAGATGCACCTGAATCGGTTAGTTGATATGATAATTCAGTTGCTCTGTATTTCGGATTAGCAGTCGTTACTTTTCCACCTATTAGTTACAATAATAAACATTATTAAAATTGAAAACATTAACCGTATTATTAATTAATATGAAAATTATATTAATACCAGCTGCGATTGTTCCCAAGAGGACTATAGAATAATCGACCTTAATAAAATAAATATATGTATAATTAATAACATAATTAATTACATAATTAATGAAAGAGATAATAAGTACTTGATTATGTGAACATATCGCTAAGATATCCCCACGTTTAAATTCCAATTTATCTTGCAATCCTGCAGCAAATTTTTTCGATTCATGTTTAAATTCGCCGTAAGTAATAGTTTTACCAGTAATCCCATCTATATAAATAACCTTATTATCAGGAATTTTTTCAGGATTGCTAGTCATATATTGATAAATTCCTTCTTGAGGAATTTGTATTTTTGGGTGTTTAGATTCGAAAACCATCTTAAATTAATTGTTCGAGGATAAAATTAAATTCAATGACTTCAATGTCATTTATAAATTTATTTGTCGGAATTATATTACCATACGTACAATAAAACAAGGGGCTAAAGGCTAATTTTATTTTTTTGTACACATAAATATCAATAATTAATCGTTAATCTAATCTTTTTTCCGATTGTGCACGCTTAATTTAGAAAAATTCACTTTCTCCTCTTTTATGAAATGTGTGCTGCAAGGTTTATGGCGCAAATTTGTAGTGACAAATTTCTTTAAAAGTACCAACAAGTGTTACTTTGCATCTAATTTTGGAAACTCTTGGCACAAACTTTCAGGAATGCATTCAGGTACTACATGCTTATGTCACACACAATCTATGGTTTTTGATAATGATAATCTTTTATCATCTTTCTATAAAGTATTTGGTTGAATATTTAATTATCTTTTATATCTATTGCATAAATTTTATTATTATTCTCAAACTTTAAGAACCTGCCAATATTCGAAGCTTCAATGTCAATATTTCCATTACCATTGTTTGATCTTTGACATGATATTTATCAGAACTAAATAATGCAAAAATAAAAATAGAATTCTTTATATTCATTGAATAAGTTACTTATTTTGACGTTCTAGTTTTATAATAATTCGTCTTTTAATTTGATAATACTTCAATCTTAATCAATATTTTTAACAATATTTACGATAGATTAAAATGAAATTAGGCTAAAATGAAATAGGGTATACTGTAAAGTAGACAAGCCACCGAAAATGTACATTTTTGGTGATTTTTTTAGGGTTAAGGTTAGGTTTTTTTATTGTAAACGAGTACAAGTGGGTTAAATAAAAACCCCTTGTTTCATTTTAATCTGCGAAAATCACAGGAAGTTGTTTTTATGTAGAGTTATGTAAATATTTTATGTACATTACATTTAAAAATTATACATAAGTCTATAAACCCAATGTAGACTTACATAGTCATAATTTATACATAAATATAATTATAAATAATATTTATTTAATAGTTATATATAATTTAGCAAATATAATAATATGTTTAGTAAACAAATAAACAAATAGTTAGGACAATAATAAAGGTTATAATTAAAGTTAGAGTTATTATTAGAGTAGAATTATGAGAGAAACATTTTTTATTAGTAGCACAACAGGGGGTTGCTAAATTTTTAGATATTACAGTCAGACCTCCCTGAATGCACCCCTAAATGCATGCTCTATGAAAAGCTCCCTAATTGCACGTTGTCACTTGGGCCCAACTAATATAATACTTAAGATTTTTACCTCCCTAAATGCAATACCTCTTTAAATGCACGTTTTTCTAATTTTTTATATATTGTCCCGTCACAATGCATTTAGAGAGGTCTGACTGTAACTAATTCTTTTTTAAGAATTTATATATAAATTTATTTGAATTTTGGAATTTAAATTCTATAGTATACAAAGGTTATATGTATATATATAATTTTTAATATATAAAATTTATATAAAATTCTTATTCTTTTTTTAAAATTTATATTAAAATTTATTTAAGTTTTATAATATACGAAGGTTATATAATTATATTTGTAAAATTATTAACATGTAAAATTTATATAGAATTTTTATCTAAATTTTACGATATATAAAAGTTATATTATAGTATATAAAATTTATTAATATATTTAGATATTTTGGTATGTAAAAAGTTACTTAATTAATACATAAAATTTTTAAATATAAAACATTTATATAATCTTTTTTAATAAAATTATATTTATATAAATAAATTTTATATAAGTTGTATATTAAATAATATATAAAAAATTAACATATATATAAATAGTATTCTATATAATATCTATATAAAGTTGTAGGTATACGTAGATTTTATAAAAAGAACAACTTGCTGATGTTAAAATTAAAGCTAGAATAAGAATAGCTATATTATAAAACCATTTTAACAGCTCTTTAGGGCTGGCATTTAATATTTGTACGTATTAGAATGGTTGTATTACATATTAAAATTTTAATTTTATTGATTTTTTTTTAAAGATTAATTCCTTTTTTCTTTCTTGTTTTGTGCTAGGCTTCCCTTGAGTAAATTAAATGAATCTCTACAATTATTTAGATTAATATTGTAAATTCAAACTATAGTGTTTTATTGCTTTGTCTGTTATTATGTATCTCAATGTTGTGCATTTATCAAATTAGATTATGATAAGTTAATAGTTGTGCATTTAAATTAGATGAAACGTACAAAGTAAATCCATATACAGTATATAAATTAAATAATTAAATCAGAAATTAAGCAATTATATAATAAACGAAAGTTTATAAAGCAAAGATTTTTTCTTTAAAAGCTATCTTTAACCAATCAGAATCGGCATTTTGACCATAGCTAAGTTTTAGTCTTCTCATATTATATATATATATTTTTTATTCCTCAGATTTAATATTGGGTGAATTTGCGGATGTTGGTTATAATTTTCTTAAAAATATAGAAACTAATGTGAAATTACGATTGTTAGGATTAATATGCCTTATATTAAATGATATACTGTAAAAACCTCCATTAGTGCACTCTTTAGTCCAAACTTAACAATGTACACTTAGAAAATAATAAGGAAAATGCATTTATAGAGGTCATGTATATATTTGGGCTAGAATTTAAGTGTGATTTAGAGAGAGTACATAGAATCACAAAATACCGTAATCAAAAGTTGGATTTTCCTCATATTAAATAAATTTTCCTCGAACATTTTGTTAATTAAAAATAAATTATATATTAATTCCGCAACTGTTGATAATTAAATGCATTCCGGGTATAATTTTGAAATTCAATTATAATAATTTAACCGGGTAATTTATCAATGCCTGGGTAGAGATTTTCCCAATTGGTAGCATTACATATAAAATCATTCCAACAGTTGGTGTTAGGATGATCATTCTAACAACCCTTTATGATTAGTGTTAAGGTGAGAAAGTTTGTATTATAAATCATTCTAACAGTTCTTTATGATTGGTGTTAGGGTGAGAAAATTTGTATTATAAATCATTCTAGCAGCTCTTTATGGTTAGTGTTACGTAGGATGTGAATGTTCGTATGTGAAAGTTCGTATTATGAAATCATTCTAACAGCTCTTTATGGTTAGTGTTAGGATGTGAAGGTTCACTCTTTAAGGTTGGTGTTAGGATGAATCATTCAAACAGCTCTTTATAGGGTTGGGCAAATGTAAGTTACATTGTAAGTTACAATGTAAGTTACACTGTAACTTACATCTAACAAATGTAAGTTACATATACATATATTTATATATAATTTTTTAAATTAAACATTTATTTAAATTTAATAGTTTATTATTAAAATTTTTAGTAAATTATTATAAATAATTTATAATATTTAACTAATTTAAAAGCATAAAAATTTTAATACTATTTAATAAACATAATTCTATATACAGTAAAACCCCATAAGTGCACACCCTCTCTATCAAGCTCTGGCTACATAAATGCACTTTCTCTTCAAGTGCATGCACTTATAGAGGTTTTACTGTAATACCAATATATAAAAAAAATTTATTTATCATGCCTTTCAAATTAATGTGCCAAGTGTTTTGCATATTAGTTTCTGCTATTACTGAATAGTTGATAGTTGATGCAGAAATTACAATATATATCTCAGATAAATTGCGTATGCCTGATCAAAAGCAAGAATTTGCAGATACTTTATTATTCATAAATTCTATACTATATTCAGTAAGACCTCCCGAAGTGCACACTCTATAAATGCATGCCCTATATAAATTCTTTCTACATGCACGGCATAACTTAGCCCCAACTTATAAAAGCACTATATATTTTGTTCTTTATAAATGCACACACTTTTTAAGTGCATATTTTGCTTTTTTTTACTATGGTCCCGAGGGGGGTGCACTTATAGAGGTTTTACTGCAATTCTAGTAATTTTTAAAATTTATAACTTACCTTACCTTACATTGTAACTTACATAGACTAAAATGTAACTTGCATTAAATTTTATAACTTACACAAAATGCCCAACCCTAGCTCTTTATGATTAGTGTTAGGGTGATAAAGTTTGTATTATAAAATCATTCTAACAGCTCTTTATGGTTAGTGTTAGGATGTGAAAGTTAAAATAATTCGTACATAATAGTAAATGTTTTTCCTTATTCGATAAAATGGGCAATGTGGCAGTTCACGATGTAATACAACTAGCCGAAGCATCAATTGTTACACTGACTGCGGATCATCACGGGAACCGTCAATCCTCAAATTTTATTGGCGTTTCGGACTAAAATTGCATAGACGTTGTGAGGGGCTAAATGGAACCCTACGATCGAAATATGGGCTCACGGGTCTCCACTAGGGCGAAACTAATCCAAATCAACACACAATACACCAAATTGTGTCCAACCCTATCTGGACCCTAATGGTGGAAGGCACGAAAGAGGGCGTGGAAAGACTTGGTCCGAGTTATTGGGGCCAAATAGAGCTCTAGACTACGTCGCGAAGCTCTAATTCGGGATCACGTGGTTATACGATAGTTTATTTGGGAAAATGAATGTGTGTAATTATATGCGTGAAATGTAACTAGCAAAAGCTAGAGATGACTAAATACTCCTTACTGGAGATATCTTTTATTCAAGGCGGACTCTTGGTCCTTATATACAATTTTCAGCTATACTATGATTCGTTAATTTTACCTAACGTATATAACATATATGTCCTATATAATCTATCTAACATATATAACGTATATAATATATCTAACATATATGCTAGATTTAACGTATCTTACGGATATAAGTAATAATAATATCCTGATCCGTTGGGAATTAGCGGAGACGAAGTTTCCGCTAATTCACATACGGTCAGGGTATTATTAATTAATCCTCCCGTGATCTTGAATAGTGATCGGGGGATTATAGATATAACGTATCTACTAGATCCAACATATCTGACGGATCCGACATATCCGACAGATCTGTTAGATCTGTTAGATCTTTTCCGACCCACATCGATCACCTGCGGCAAAAAATTTTTCAAGCCACATTTCACCCTTTTACAACGTGCATTCAAGTTTACTACAACAGATGAGTCCTCGCTACGCTTCGGACAAAAACATAAGACATCAAATCAAAATATGACGGTTTAAAATGAAATAGGAAAAGGCCCGAAACAAACATAAAACGATATATAATGGTGTTAACTAGTGTTTGTAGTCGACCATTATTTATCGACTTGACTAAGTCGATATTTAAAAATCGGCTTAGCGACCAAGTCAGAGTCAAATTCTATTTAATTAGACTTTGGAAGTTATCGGAGATTTCCTGTCTAAGCCTTGCCGTATTTTTATGTTCGTTGATTTTTTCAGAACTTTTCGGATTCTACTATAAACTGGCTAAATTTTTAATATAATCCATATAACCTATCATAAAGTCGACTAAGTCGATTTTTAAAAATCAGCTGACTAAGCCGGCTAAGCATTTTATCGACTAATACAAAATCGACTACAAGCACTAGTGCTAACTAACCTAAACCCTAACCTAACTATTAAGGAAAGCTAAAAAATGCACTCCAAATTTTTAAATTTTCAGCTTCAGCCGTGACAATTATTAATACCGTAAAGTGCCATACGGTAGATCCCCCTATGAGATATACCCTGTGATGATTTGTGAGCTTAAATTTGATTTATATCCGGGTACAATCATGGTAAAGTTCAATGAGTAATACCCTATGCTTTGGGGAATACCCGGGGTGCAATTTTCGTACAATATACTCTTCTACTTAAGTACTTGGGTACAGCTTAAGACATTATTTTCTGGGATTATACCCCTGATCAATACAATACCCCACTTAAGTACCCTAGATACATCTCAAGACATTGTAAATACCCGGATACAATAGTTGGCACTTTACGGTATATCTGTTTTTATCCCACAAAGTTACTCTCCAATTCTTATTCGTGAAGATGCCACGAAAAAATTGAACCAATCAAGGAGTTTTCAGAACTAAAGACAAATCTTATTAAACTCACACCAAAAGCTCTTTATTATTTCATAAAGGAAAAAAAATTATAATCTAAATATGGACACAGCCCCAAGAAATACAGTCGGACAGGTAACGGATATGCGACTAAATTTCTTCGAAGGGCTTCTTACGAAACATTATTAGTTATAAACTATTCCTTACTGGAATCAAATCATATTTCATACGGTTTTGGTTCAAAATCCTGAAAAAACCGGTCAACAATAAACTAACGTTGTCGGGATTCGGTTTTAATCTAAAACCATTTCACACAAATAATTTATAATTTTGCAGTCTGTGAAATGAATGAATTGATTTTAGATGTCGCTTGTTGAAAGATACCTTTTTCGTGAAATAACGCGTAGGGAAAATTTTGACCTGAATTAAGTTTAATTGTCAAAACTACACCCTGTGCGTTATTTCTCGAAAATACGGTATAAAAATAAGGCAGTAATACACTCACTCTCATAAATCATACACACATTATCAATAGCAATAACTTTGTAAATAAATAAAACAGAACACTTGTTACTTTATCGACAAAAACTTATAGTGCAATTGAACAAAAATTTTTCATTTTATCGTCAAAAAACTTAAAATTCACAAACAAAAATGTCCAAATTCCAGACAAAAAAATTTTCAATTTTATTATTATTTATATATACTGTAATATGCTGTTATTTAATGTAATCACATAGGAATTATTGACAACAATCAATTATAATTGTTAATAATTTTTTAGTACATTACGGCTAATTTAGTTTTTTGGACCTTTTTTTTGATCACTAAAACTGTAAAATTTAATCAAATTTTATTGACGACCCTTAAAATTATAATTCTTTGTTAAATATTGGACAATCAATTGACTTGTACGTCACTGCAAAGTCCCCAAAAATAAAAAATCACATAAGAGAACTAACGTATAACCGATTACCCCATCCTCCAACCGATTACTTTTTTTCAGAAATAAATAATTATTAATGGTATAATTATTAGAGATGGGCAATCACGCATTTATCAGTGCTGCTTAATCAGCACATATTTTAATGAATTACAATCGAATAATAAAAAAACTTCATATACGTAGTATAATTTGCGAGTACTGTACATCACCAATAAATCAATGTAAACATTCCGTTATATATATATATTACTTTGTTTAATTGATTTTATATAACATTACTATTAAGATAATTAAAAAACGATTATAATCATATCGGTATGTGATTTAAATGCATAGTTTTAAATAAGAAGATATCGATAAATTCGTTATTATATGAACGATTATCATTATAGACAGATCGATTTATACAAAGGCACCTAAATTAATAGGCACTTAAAATATTTTATTATTAGGATTGCTATGATTCATTATACTGTATTTATAGAGAAAAATTTCACTCGAAAGTAAAAGTAAGCGTACTTATTAATCTTATTTTTAATTACGCAAATATGTAGTAATAGATAATACAAAAATTTTACACCGCCAAAGGATAATCCCACCCCTACAGATCAGTTAATACCCTTAAATTTTGGGGTACAATCCAAATTAGCCGTAATGAATTTTTTTATTATTAATTAAAACTCAAAGTTCAGTGCCTAAAGTTATAAAAATTAAATGATGTATATAAAAGGAGTGCACCAGGGCGACCACCAAAAGTACGGGCACATGATAAGACCCACATCCATATCTTAATAATACTGTATGGTA